TGATAATTCAGTATGTATTCAAGTAATTGTTATGAAATATAATTGATGATTATTAAGCTTGGAATCCTGTATGATATATTTGTCATATACTCATGATTATATAACCTATTATATTATTGTGAAATCTCACCCTTTCTATTTGAATGTTGCCTCTACGTGGGTAACGTGTAGGTGGTCCGTAGTAGACAAGGTTATTCATCATTTATTTTCGAGTCGGCGTCGTGCTCTAATATATAACATCGGGGAGATGAACGCTTTCTTGCTTTGATTATTTGTTGTTTTTATTTGAAGAATTGTGGGAGTGTTATAGACTCTCTTTATTTAATTAAAAACGTTGGCTTACAATGATAAAATTGTTGTCGGTTCATCCGAAGTGTGTTATGTATCTGTTTATTTATACTTGAGAAAATTTTAATATGTTGAAAGATGTAGCGTCTCATTCTTGGTAATTTATGGCAAAAAATTAATTTACTCTGATTTTTATGTAATTACCAATGGGGAAATAGGGTGTTACAATTGGTATCAAAGTAGGTCGGTCCATTTGACCAAGTTGTTGAGTCTTCAGTGTAGTGTGACAGTGGAATATTGTCGATGTGTTTATTCTAACCATTGTTTGATGTTATGATGTGAATCCGAGTGATGGCTAGAAGGAACGGTAATGCACTTGCTGTTGCCTTGCAGGCTTTGGATCAGGCTATGCAACATCAGCATAATGCTGGCGGAAACGATGAATCTCGTGTGTTGGAGACTTTCCAGAGGAAACATATACCTACGTTCCAACGAAAGCATGACCCTGAAGGAGCGTAGGAGTGGGTCAAAGAAATTGAGAGGATCTTTCGAGTTATGAACTGTTTGGAGGTACGGAAAGTGCGTTTTGGTACGCATATGCTGGCAGGAGAGGCTGATGAATGGTGGGTTACCACTCATTAATTGGGTTATGTTTCACATGGAGTTCCTGGTGAATTATTACCCAGGAGATGTCTGCGGAAAGAAGGAGATTGATTTTTTGGAACTGAAACAAGGAGAATTGTCGATGACTGAATATGCTGCCAAGTTCGTGGAATTGGCAAACTTTTATCCTCATTACAGCGAGGAGACTGCTGAATTTTTTAAGTGCGTTAAGTTTAAAAGTGGACTGCATTCTGGGATCATGATTGCCATTGGGTATCAGTGGATCCGTAAGTTTCCGGACTCGGTTAATAGCTGTAGGATTTATGAAGAAGATACTAAGGCTCACTACAAGAGTGTCACTAAGAAGAGATGGGAAGCCTTACAATTCTCTAGCTGACAAAGGTAAACAGAGAATTTCTGATGGTAAGAGGACTAATGGGGGAGGTGCTCCTACTGGTGTCATATGTTACAAATGCAGAAGACCTGGTCATCGAAGTAATGCATATACTGGGGAAGTGAAGAGGTGTTTTCGTTATGGTAAGGATGGACGTGAAATAGCTGATTGCCAACATAAAGCGGAAATATGTTTCAACTGTGGCAAAGGACATATCAGCACTCAATGTCAGAAACTGAAGCAAGCTAAGACCAATGGAAAGGTGTTTGCTTTAGCTGGGACTCATACATCTAGTAGAGACCGCTTGATCAAAGGTATATGTTTCATTAATAATATTCCTTTAATTACTATTATTGATAATGGTGCTACGCATTGTTTTATTGATGCTGATTATGCTAAAAAGTTGGGTCTTGTGTTATTGTCTGTGAATGGAGAAATGGTTATCAATACTCCAGCTCAGGGATCAGTGACTACTTCTCTAGTATGCTTGAAGTGTCCTTTGTCCATCTACGGCAGCGACTTTGTTGTTGATCTAGCTTGTTTACTGATGAATGATCTGGATATAATTTTGGGTATGAACTGATTGGAATATAACTATGTTCATATTAACTATTACAATAAATCAGTTCGGTTTTCTACTCCTGATGAGGAAGAGGAAATTGGTTTCTTATCTTCTAGACAATTGAATAAGTTGATGCAGGATGAAGTTCAGGTGTTTTCATTGACGATGTCTTTATCTATTGAGAATCAAGCTGCGATTGATGAGTTGCAGGTAGTATGTGATTTCTCTGAAGTTTTTCCAGATGATATTCCAGATGTGCTGCCAGAAAGAGAAGTGGAATTTTCAATTGATCTTGTACCTGGTACCAGACCCATTTCTATGGTACCATACAGGATGTCAGCGTCTGAATTATCAGAGTTAAAGAAAAAATTAGAAGACTTGCTTGAAAAGAAATTTGTGAGGCCAAGTGTATCGCCTTGAGGAGCTCCAGTGTTGCTTGTAAAAAAGAAAGATGGTAGTTTGAGATTGTACGTTGATTATCGACAATTGAATAAAGTGACAATAAAAAACAAGTATCCACTTCCAAGAATAGACGACTTGATGGTTCAATTGGTGGGTGTGCGCGTGTGTTTAGTAAGATTGATTTAAGATTGGTTTATCACCAAATTCGAGTGAAGGACGAAGACATTCAAAAGACAGCTTTCAGAACTCAGTATGGATATTATAAATATTCAATGATGTCTTTCGGTGTTACTAATGCGCAATGAGTATTTATAGAGTATATAAACCGTATCTTTCGCACTTATTTGGATTAGTTTGTGGTAGTATTCATTGACGATATCTTAATCTATTCCAAATCAGAAGAGGAACATGCTGAGAATTTGAAAATTGTGTTGTAAGTATTAAAAGAGAAGAGGCTATATGCCAAGTTGTCAAAATGTGAGTTATGGTTAACAAGAGTCAGCTTTCTTGGTCATGTTATTTCAGGTGATGGAATTTCTGTGGATCCATCCAAAGTGGACACAATGTTGAAGTGGGAAGCTCCAAAATCAGTTATGGAGATTAGAAGATTTTTAGGTTTGGCTGGCTATTATACGAGGTTTATTGAAGGTTTTTCTAAGTTAGCACTTCCGCTAACTCAGATAACTTGTAAAGGCAGAGCATTTGTGTGAGATATCCAATGCGAAGAAAGTTTTGTTAAGCTGAAGAAGAAATTGATGATGCCTCCAATTTTAATATTACCTATTGTACCGTAATTTTTGCCCCTAAGATTCCTCTATCATATCATATCAACTCAATCGTAACAAGATCACACTAGGGTTTGATTCTTCTCCTTATCTTTAGATTTTCTCCTGAGAGATCACCAAGCACCTTGAATCGTGTGCCTCGTATATATGTATATTATATTTTACTGACTTCTAACCAAAATTACAAAATATGTTTTGTTTGTTTTGCGTTTTGAAAGACAGGGTTTGCGACCAAGAAGTTCAGGTGATGACTCTCTCTGGTTAGGGTTATGGTTTGTTCAAGCCAAAAATAGTTCCCAAAAGCCTATGGCTCAGAGTGATGATCTATAATCTTAGGTCACGTTATCCTCAAGTTTCATTCAGCATAGTTAAGGCGAGCCTGGTTGCTTAATTCTCAAGATTCTTCGAGATAGGCTCATGTGTTTATTTTCATTCCTTCTTCGACGTCTCAAGTTCATATGTGATTAATAGTATCTTGGGCCGTGAAAAAGATCAAGTTCGCAAGTTGATTTGAAGTTGTCAGACTAAAATTCAACGTTTGCCAGTTTGAGTTCGAATGATCATAACATCCTTATTGTTCAATATTTTGAGTGATTCTTCGAGCATATGAATCTCCTTGACGTTATCTCCAACTTCTCTTTACAAGTCAAGAGCTAATGATGTGAGGAACAACTTTGCTTCAGAAGGTTTCTAGAAATGACTTCAGCTGTTGCGCCCTAAATTTCGCCCCTAATTTTTTTTAGTCGCACTTTCATATCATATTTTGTTATTTGGTCACAATCATTAATAAATATCTCCATTCATTACATTTTACATCATTAGTCGTATTTAAGTTGATCAAAAGTCAGTTTAAATCGAAATTTGCATCATTTTGTAGTTGAAAAATATCTAATATTTTACTTCATGCATTTTTATCTCTTTACTCGTTTCTTGGATTGCTCCAAGTTGTTTATATGTCGATAATATTAATATTTTGGTTTTACAAACAAACTGTTAAAAGTGATTCGACACTGTACGAAAAATTAGCGAGAAAAATATTTTAAGTTTTCACCTTTTACTGATCATTTTACGAATCTGTGTTTTGCGTAAATCATGACAGTATGCTCGCTTCATTTTTTCGGTACAGTTTGAAGTCTCGTTTTTGAACGTAAGCGTTTTTTTAGCCTGATATTTTTATTCTCATTTTATTTCGATTGATCATTTGAATATTTTTTCATTAATCTATGTGACATATAGTTTATTTTAATGTGTTCATTTCATTTTTTTGAATAGATTTATGTCCATTTTTGTTATCGTTTTTAGTCATTTTGGATCTCTATTTTTTATTCAGAAAAAATCAAAAAAAATATATTTTAAATTGCATTAATTTTTATACTTTTAGGTTTTCAAGTCATTTTTATTTTTAGAGGGCTTTTTGGTCATAAAAAATATTTGTTAAACTATGCTTTGCTCTCATTGGTCGTAAGGAAAAGTTAAGAATCTATACAAATTATAGCACAAGAGAGTCAACGAATTGCAATCACAGAATAAATTTCCTCTTTTTTTTCTTTCTTTTTTTTTCTATATAAACGTTTCTTTTCTTCTTTGTTAAACACACAAAAATAATCTCATAATCCTTCCTCTCTTCCTAACACAAATAGTAACTCCTTTCATCTCACTCTCCTTCTCCCTTTGTACACCCAAACACCAAAAGCATATCTCCATCTCTCTTCACTCAACACAGCATCCTTTATCTTTATCTCAGTAACCTTTCTACATCACACAATCTCCCTTCTATTTCTCTTACCTCCATTTCTACACAAAAACCCACAATCCCATACAACTCCCTTCATCCTCCCTTCCGTCTCCTCTTCAATGGCTGCAAACCCTTCCCATCAGCAACTCCCTCTGCCTCTGCTTCTTCTCACTACCATCGATTCAATCACCCCCTTCCTAACGTAAACCACCGTAACCCAATCTTCATCAATTATTCCGCTAGAAATCTCACTTCTTCCGTCTCTTCTACGGACAACAACAACCCACCTTCAATACTCCGGCCTCTCAGCTCACCGTGTTTCATTCTCCAGCAGCTAACATCCCAATTTTCGCTCAACATCCGAAGCAATGCATTCAATCTTCCCGAAGGAAGAACAGCCGATGATGCTATGAGGAATCGTTCGACTACATCAATTCTGTTTGGTGGAACAGTTTCTGTAACAACAACAACTTCAGCTAGCTCATCGGAATTCACTTTTGGTAAGCTTTCGACTACTAGTTCATTTGTTTGCATAATTGTGGTAATGAGATTTTCTTTCCGTGTTAATCTGTGATGAAATAGTTTGTGTAGAGTTCATTACGCTTGAAAATATATGCTGTGTTAAAATTATGAGATAGAACACGACATTGTATGCTAGTATGTGACGAATTACCGCATCCGTTTATTTATACTGAGTCGTTATCAAGTTTTTGATTGTGTTTTGATTTATGCTTAAATTATCATGCTGTGATATCTTGTGATTCAATCCTGCAAAAAAAAACTTTGATAATGCATCAAATCTGGTTGAGTTTTAAATTGGTGTTTAGGTTGAATATATGACAAAATTTGAGAATGTTTTGATATTGTGATGTTTTTTTTTGTAATATGCAAGGGTTTAATGGTAGATGTGAGTGTAGTTTTTGATTCAGTTTGTTATTCAAGCCGATTTTAAATGTTCGAATGTTGATGGCACTACTTTTGTTGGTAATAATGTGGAATGAGGTTATAGTGTGTCTTAGTGGGTTTGAACATAACTTAAAGGGTTGGACTGTGGTTGGAAATGGCACAATTAAGGAACGGGTATCGAATGATGGAAATCGATTCATTGTTTCTCACAACAGAACACGAGCATTGGATGGTTTCTCATAGAAGGTTCATCTGAAGAAAGGAATTATATACATTTTTTCTGCTTGGTTTCAGCTGAGTGAAGGAAGTGGCATTGTTTCACTTGTTTTCTTTAAAAAAAAAACAAATGGAAGTGAATTGGTACATAGTGGTTCTGTGATAGCCAAGCATGGTTGCTGGTCTCTGCTAAAAGGGGGCATAGTTGTTAACTTTTCAAGCCCTGTTGAGATTCTTTTTGAGGTTGAGAATCCAACTGTGGAGTTATGGGCTAATAGTGTGTCCTTACAACCATTCACCAAAAAGCAATGGATATCACTCCAAGACGAAAGTGTTGAGAGGGTAAGTAAGAGAAAAGTGAGATTCCAGGTAACTCAACCAAATGAACCAATGTTGGAAGGAGCAACAGTTGTTATAAAACAAACAAGAGCAGATTTTCCATATGGATGTGCTATGACCTTGTCTTTGTTTCTTCACGTTGTATGGACATACTTGAAATGTTTTTTATCGAGTGTTAATAGTTAAGTGCATGGCTTCCCGAATTTGTTTTGTTTAATTTTAGCTTGTTTCGAAATCGATTTCCCATGTTTGAAGTTAGAATTGAATTATAGCATGAGTTATTTGCTTCTTTGTTTCATTTGTGGGTTAAGAATCATGATCATCTTTGAGTCTACTTGAATTTGAACATGTTTGAAATGATGAATACAATGCTGATTTTTTTTTACATTTACCTTGAATAATTGATTATTTGGTTCTTGAATTGTTCATGTGCATTCATGCAATTTCATTTCGATTTATACTTTGTGACTATTAACACATGTTCTAATTGTCACAATTTCATTTGATTTCATTTTTATACCTCTTATGCTATTAACGAGTTTGTTATTGTGAAAGTTTTCAAGAATTATTTCAAGCATTCATTCTCGGATAGCACATCCTTACTTTTTCTTCATTCCTTTTTATTGTATTTTATTTTTACTATTTCGATTTAATATTTAGTAATGCAAATATATAATTGTACATGATACTTTTGATTTTGTATTTTATTCAATTCACTTGTAAATAAATTCAGGTTATGTAAATATTATTTCCATTGCGTTGCGATTTTGAATTTTAATTCAAGTTAACTTTTGAAAATCGTATGGACGCATATAATTTTTTCCCGATCATTTGGAGTTGATTCCTACATGAATCCATTCTAGAAAATACTTAACTAAGTTCAATGTTCGATAATTTACACTTAAGCTTTAAATAAGTTTCCCCGTGCTGTTGGATTTGTCTATAATTTCATATGATACAGGAATTCTTATCCGATATCGTGAGCTTTATTCATCACCCTTGCGCTTTATCTGACTCCTCTCAAGATCCACGCTTTCTTCGTCTGTGATTTATTTCCACGTGCTTTATTTTATGCTTGGAGTATTATCTGACATTTGGATTTCTTTGATGCCGTCGGCTTGTGATTTATTTTTACCCGAGGTTTGGTATACTCTTAGCTTCTTTATCTGTCTGTGGCTTTAAACCCAAAAGGATGAAAACACTGTATTGACTTTATCATGTCAAGTACTGGTTTCTTATTCAGTCAGATCCTCTTTACCTTATCTTTTACCCTCCTGTATATAAGACACTCTCTTCATCTTCTCCCATTCTTTAATTTTAAAAACCTTCTTATATTTTTCAAAATCTTCTTTATTTATAAACTTGAACCACTTTCGTAATAAACTTGGACTTATGTCCATGCATTTTCAAAAATATTTTCTTAATCAAACTTTAAAAAAATTTAACAATACTTTGACATTTTTGTGAGAAGACTAAAAGTCCATCAATCTCATTCAAATCTTTGCCACTTTGGTTTTTTACCTTAAAAGTTTCTTAAAAGATTAGACTCTTGTCAATCCTTGTAGTGATACGAGCTACTATACTTCTATGATATGTAGTGAAGTGAGATATTTTCCACTTGGATGTTGAGTGAGACTCTTGTTGATTTTAAAATCCAAGTCGTATCCTCGATTTTGAGATGATGCAAATTCTCCTTTCTCATGATTGTGGATAGTAAGTACGTTCTTGCACTCGGACAAAGACGATGATGTATCGTATCTTAAAATTAACCAACACACTTGTGCTTTAAAATTTTTAAAAGGTGAACTACGAGTACCATGATCCCCTATTGTACATAAGGTGGTACGTAGACACTAAAGGTTTGCAACCGCGGCGGGTGCAAAAATTACAAAATATACTTCTTTTCTCATCCCCACAATCTATTTTTGTATACAACAGTTATAGCCAAAATACACAAATTTTCAAAGAGGTTCCTGCGAAGTACTGTAGATGTTTAGGGTGTTAATACCTTCTCTTTGCATAACCAACCCCGAACTTAGATTCTCTCCCCTCTTTTTAGGTTATTCACTCTTTTCCCATTCCTTTGGGAACAATAAAGTGCGATGGAAATTTTTTTATCTGTGCGAGTCGAGTCAATCCAATGGCTTAGTCTCAATATTTCTACCGCTACATTACCTAATCCTGAAGAATCATTTTGTGTGTATTGTGATGCTTCTAAATTGGGTTTACGTGATGTGCTAATTCATAATGATAAAGTAGTAGCTTATGCATCGAGGCAATTGAGGATTCATGAAAGGAATTACCCTACTCACGATCTTGAATTAGCTGCAGTGGTATTCATACTAAAGATTTGAAGACATTTCCTTTATGACTCTAGGTTTGAAGTATTTAGTGATCATAGGAGCTTAAAGTATTTGTTTGACCATTAGGAATTGAACATGAGGCAAAAGTGGTGGTTAGATTAATTGAAGGACTATGACTTTGGCTTGAATTACTACCATGGTAAAGCTAATGTTATAGTTGATGCTTTGAGTCGAAATAATTTACATATGTTCGCTATGACGGTTAAAGAATTAGAGTTGATCGAGCAATCCGGAGACACGAGTTTAGTTTGTGAAGTGACACTGCAAAGTGTGATGCTGGGAATGTTAAAGATTAATAACGATTTCTTGGATAATATTAAAGAGGCTTAGAAGTTAGATGTGAAGTTGGTAGACTTGATGGTTGTGAATAACCAGTCGGAGGATGACTATTTTAAAGTGGATGTCCAAGGTGCATTAAGATTCTGAGACATAATTTGTATTTCTGATGATGCGGAGATGAAAAAGATGATTCTGGAAGAAAGTCATAGAAGTAGTTTGAGTATTCATCCGGGAGCTACTAAGATATATCATGACTTGAAGAAGTTATTTTGGTGGTCCGTATTGAAACAAGATGTAGCGCAATTCATGTATGCATGTTTGACTTGTCAGAAGTAGAAAGTCGGACATCAGAAACCTGCAGGATTGTTGGAACCATTAGAGATTCCAGAATGGAAGTGGGATAGTATATGCATGGACTTTATGACGGGGATACCAAGCACTCCAAGAGGACAAGATACAATTTGGGTGATTGTTGATAGGCTAATAAAATCAGCTTATTTTATTCTGATTAATATCAATTTCCAGTGCCGAAGTTGGCAGAGATTTATATTGGCATAATTGTGAAGTTACATGGTGTTTTGTTGAGTGTTGTATCTAATTGAGATCCGAGGTTTACTTCTGATTTTTGGAAGAGTCTGCAAGATGCGTTGGGTTCTAAGATAAGATTGAGTTTTGCGTATCATCGGCAGATAGATGGTCAGCCAGAGAGGACTATTTAGTCTTTAGAGGATTTGTTGAGAGCTTGTGTTCTTGAACATGGATGTACGTGGGATAGTTATCTTCCACTGATTGAGTTCACTTATAACAAGATTTTCCATTCTAGTATTGGCATGACACCCTTTGAGGCATTGTATGGTAGGAGGTGTCGAACGCCTTTATGTTGGTATGAATATGGTGAAAGTGTAGTACTCGGACCTGAAGTTGTGCGAGAAACTACAAAGAAAGTGAAAATTAATTCGAGAAAAGATGAAGGCTTCGTAGAGTAGGCAAAGAGTTACCATGATAAGAGAGAGAAAAATATTGAGTTTCAAGAGGGAGACCATGTATTCTTGAGAGTATCTCCAGTAACTGGTGTAGGTCGTGCTTTGAAATCAAGGAAGTTGACTCCTTGATTTATTGGTCCGTATCAAATTTCAGAAAAAATGGGGACTGTTGCGTATAAAGTGGTCTTTCCACCTAATCTGTCAAATTTGCATGACGTATTCCATGTGCCGCAACTTCGTAAGTATATTTCAGATCTGTCACATGTGATTCCGATGGATGATGTGCAAGTGTGGGATGATCTTACTATTGAAACTGTACCTATGAGGATCGTGAAATAAAGAAGCTAAGGGGCAAAGATATTTCTCTAGTGAAAGTAGTTTGGGGAGGAGCAGCTGGAGAGAATGCGATGTGGGAATTAGATAGCAATATGCGAGAGGCTTATCTAGAGTTATTCGCCCCAGGTAATTTTTTAGGACGAAAATATTCCAAGTGGGGGAGAGTTGTAACACCCCGATTTAGTTAGAATTATTTTATTTAAAATAATTAGATGATGTGATGTGTTTATATGTGTTGGCGAATTTTATGCCGTGTTGTGATGCAATTTTCAGGAATTAGATGCTTTGAAAATTATAGAACTTAAGGGATAGAGGTGTATGACCCAAAAGTGTAGAAACATAAGTGTGTAAGGAATAGACAAGTTTATTAGCATTATTTGGATTAAACAATTGACTTATTATTATTTTATTATAATTAAATAATTAATTTATTAATAAGAGGAGGGGCATAGTTGGGATATTGATTTAAGGGTCCAAAGGCTAGATAAGTCAAAACAAGAGGAATAAAAGAGCAGTTGTTTTTGATCGATTGTGGAAACGAGAGAAGAGCTAAACGAGAAAGAGGAAGAGCTAGGAAGAGAGGGGATCCATTATTAAAGCTCGAGGAATCTACAATCTAAGGTAAGGATGGGGTTCCGACTCTCTAATAGATGGTATAATTGTGGGTAGATGATGATATTTAAT